GGGAATACCTGGGTGCCCTGTGGCCAGTGCTCACAGAGGTGACAGCTCCAGGGCTGGCCCGTGCCTGATGCCACCTCAGCACAAGAAATACCAAATCTCAGCTGGGAATTTCTTTTACATCTGGCCTCACTATTCCCCACTTCCCAAGTGCCCTGTCCTTCCTCTCCTTTTGGTTTTGCTTCTCGCCTCCCCCAGGGCCACGGCGAGCTCAAGGGAAGGGAAGGGAAGGGAAGGGAAGGGAAGGGAAGGGAAGGGAAGGGAAGGGAAGGGAAGGGAAGATTTATGTAACACAGGCAGTTACACTTAGTGACTCTTGGCTGTTGCTCAGCCTCCCGGCATCAGCCTCTGATACGCCTTCTGGCATACATATTTATGATCCAAATTATCATAAAACAAACCCCCAGGTTGCTGTGAAAATAAATGGTTTTTAATCTAAATTGCCCAGTTTACATACTTCACCCACCTCTGCTTAGCAGAACAGCTGGTGTTTACCAACTTCTCATTACTGTTCCAAGCAACACAAGATGCTGGCTGGAGAGGACCTGCCACCTCTGAGACAAGATGAGCTTAGGTTTAGCTCTGCCTCAGACTCTCTGCTCCTCCACATTGCTAACAAGCCTGCAGCAGAGGCAGGCCGTGCCAAAAGCCAGCCTCTGCCAAACTCCAGAGTTGCTAGGGGCGGATAAATGAAGTGACATCCATGGACTGTAGCTACAAAACCTGGGCACCACGCTCCAGAACAGCTCTGTACAGCTATGGTTTGCTTTCAGCAGGGGTGGAGCAGCAGCAGCAGCTGTGGTAAATTCCTCTCCTGAAGGGGAGACCCAGATGCATGTCCTCGGGATGGGAGAGCAGCTCCCACCCACAGCCTGGATCTGCACAACACACCACTGAAATTCGGACTTCCCTCCCAAGCAGCACGTGCTTTCCCTGCCCCACTGCCAGGCTTTGACAGTACTCAGAGAGGCTTCCTACCCCTCATTTAACCTGTGGGATCTGAGGCATGGAGCAGAAAAAAGCTGGGTCAGACATGGGTGGTATAGACAGGAATAGGAAGGTTTCTCCATCCAGCCCAGCCTCCATCCAGAACAGGCCCAGTGAAGACTGCAGCACCATACAGTGAAGAAATAATGATGGCCGTCTGCTGGTAATAATTACTATTGTTAGGTGTTGTATTTCTGCAGGAAAGAGCAGTTTCCATGTTAACCCAGAGGAATCTGGCTGTCTCTACACTTCAGTCCATATCTGTGTTTACAGTTACCAGCGTTTCCTTTTTCCTACCGCCTCGGGAGGCTCACACCGGAGCTAGGAAGATCCAAGAATTATTCTTGTTGTGGCATTTCCACTGTCCAAGAATGAGCACATGTCAAAACAATACAGTCCCTCTTTATTCCAGGCCTTAAATGACCCCCTGAGGTATTAAACAAAAATGGGGTCAGCGTGCCACCATTGCCTCTTGGGGGGGTTATGTCAGGACTGGTAGCACTGGTGCATGGAGTGTTGCACTGGTGGAAGATCAGAGCACGATGGACTGGCACCAGGTCCAGCCACCGGCATGCAGAGGCACTGAAGCCGCAGCAATGAGGTTCCTAAGGCACCCGCCCCCCTCTGGAAGAGCTGGAAAGGAAGGTGCTTTTTTTAGTAGGTGTGTGAAGACATGTGCTGCTGCACGTGGGCCACACCAGTCCTATTTCCAGCTCGGCTGGCTGAGGACCGAAGGAAGAACTCCCGGGACTGGGCATGGAGCAGGCAGTCACATGAGGCTCAGAAATGAGTCACAAGCCACAGCAAGGTAACGATGCCAGGTGTCAGAGACTCAGTCCATCCTTTCCCTTTCCTCTATTTCTTCCTCTGTCTGTTTGGGCTGACATAAGTGCTGGACACTGGTGGCCAATACCTACTGTAGGATAAATGCCTCCTGTGTTTCTGCAGCCCTGCTCTTGCAGTGTTCTCTTGGAGGAACACCACAGCTCTGCATCCTTCAGCCCCTTGGGTGCACACCCCTTACATGGTCCCTGTGCTCCCTCTCTGCATGCACACAGGTGCTCCCTCCCATGTCTAAAAGACAGCCAGCTCCCAGTTGTCCTACCTCCAGAATGTTGGACAATATCCCCCCTCCCAGGAAGCAGTGGAGAGCGATAACCCTTGGCCTGGCTGCCCCAGGATCTGAGCCATCACCTGGTGACATCTTCTGGCACAAAGTCCCCAAGGCATCTGTTTCTCTGCCCATGAAACTGCTGGTGGCTGGAGGGACGTGGTATCCTCACCCTCCCTTGGGCACAGACTCAGAAGCTGGTATGCACAACTGTCTGCTTTAAGTTTCACTTTATTTCCACATATTATTATGGAGTTTAGCCCTGGCCACCTTGACCTCTCATCCCTCTAGAACAGCCCAACTTTGTCACGCTGTGTGGGAGTGGGGGGGTGTGAACAAATGAACGGGAAAATTATGTTTCATGGGATGTTCCCAAGGAGTAAGTGTCTCTCTCTTTTCTTTTCTTTCTCCAGGCACCACAAATTTGCTTCCTGTGATTTAAAGAGGACACATTTGCTTAAAAAATCACAGGCCAGATCCACAGTCCCTACAAATCAGAACATCTCTGTTTGACTTCATGGGGCTTAGCTGATTTAGACCAGCTGAGACACTGACCCTTATGTTTAAACAAAGCCCTTTTTTTCTCATTGGTGCTAGGCAGAATGGCTCTGGAAGGGCTGTTTTAGCAGGGATGCTCTCTGCATGATTCATCCTTCACTGGGCTTGACTTTGACAAGAGCTGTAACAGCCACTGGCCACCAGTGTGAGTCTAGGGGTTCTGCCACTGGGGAGGCACAGCTACATGCACCCCAGGCCCCATATGCAGAGCCTGGCCAGCAGCTCAACACCAGCTGTACAGCCACTGGTAACAAAAGCCCCACTGGGATACCTGGGCAGCAGCCTTGGGCCTCATCTCAGGGACCCAAAGGGCATGGTGGAGAACCAGACAGTCTAGGTGCAGCAGCTGCTGCAAGCAAGCTACCGTGGGGCTGGGCAGCACCCCTCAGCGAGGTGCTGGGGATGGTAGGAGAGATGGGCAGAGATCTTGGTGCCAGGGCAGGGCACTTCTGCACCATGCATCCCCGCAGGTCTTCCAGAGCCATCAAAGCTTGATAGCTTGATGTCCAGTCATCAACCTGCCTTGTGATAAAAGATGTGGGACTGTGCTTTTCCCTATGTATGAAAAGAAAAGGGGAACTGACCTGAAAAACTGCTGGAAAAGATCCTGCCCCAGCAGGGTGAGCAGCAGTCACCTGAACTGAGAACAGGCAGCCCTGGGGAGTGAGGGGGGAGGCTTCTGGGGATGGGTTCTCCCCTGGGCTTGCTGTTATTTCAAACAGGATGAAGATTTATGTCCCCCGAGCTGAGGGCTGAGGCTCTCGCAGTGGCATTGCAGACTGCCCAGTAAGCAGGCAGGAAACTTCGCCCGATGACGGATGCCTCGCAGGGATCCACAGGGGAAAACAAGCCCAGTGTTTGCAAAGAGCAGCGAGGAAATATACATGTTCTGCATTTAGCTTTTCCAAGCAGTGGTGCACATCAGGGAGGTGGAAAGACTTAGAACAGGGTCTCCCTGTGAAGCCCCAGCTGGGTGGCTGGTAACCGGTTGTCACAGAAGAAAGATGGGCTGGAAGAACTGCTCATTCTTCACTGCACCAGTCCAGACTGATGCCCGAGGTTGGTACTGCCAGGAAGCTGCACTGCCCCACGTGAGGCTGCAAATGTGGGCACTTATTGCTCTCTGGTGGCGAGACGGGCTGTGGAGGAGAACCGTGTCCTGCTCCTGGTGCAGCCCTCCGGTGAGCCTCCTCCGTGTCTCCCGCTCCCCCTGCTCGCCCGGCAGAGCAGTTTCTGCTTCTCCTCCAGGCAAACGTGGCTCGGGGCACACGAGGGCAGCTTGCTGCCTGCTGGGCACCCACCATCTCCTTGGGCTGCCAACGGCCCCTCTGAAGGCAGCACGGCTGCCTCTCCCTGCCAGAAGCCCCCCTGCACTCCATCAGCACCCCTGCCCAGGGGGCTGGATGCGTGCCACAATGCGGGCCAGTGTGCCCAGCTTCACTGGCCACTCCCCAGTGCTCCTGCATCCTGCAGGGCTTGGCAGCCTGGAGAAAAGGGGCTGGGGAGGGGGCTGGGCTGCAAAGCCTGGCCAAGGTGGGGACTGACGGCTCTTTTCCCAGGCAAGGCCCTCAGCGTGCTCAGGTGCAGATGCTGGAAGCGCACACGGGCTGTGGAGCAGAAGAGGTCACTCTGGCTACAGCAGGACTAGGGCAAGGGTGGACTCTGCCTCCCCCCAACCCCAAGCAGCCTCCCTCCTGCATATGGGGCTTATCCCGAGGTGAGGCTTGAGAAGCTCCTTTCATTTCTCCTCCTTTCCCTAATTCTGTCTCTCACTGCCAAAAGCTTTGGTGGTGGTTGGTACCTAAGAGGCCCTGGGCTCTGCAGAGGTACAGGTCACAGACTTCCACAGAGCAGATGGGACAGAAGGCCGATAGGAATAAATAAAGGATTTGCTATTCAAGCTGAAACACGTTTGGGTCTGGCTGAGCTGCCCCATGGGCGCTGAGGTGTGTGGGGCAGCTTGGGGAGACAGTTGGGCACGTGGCAGCACTCTCCTGTCCCTGTCCCACACAGGGCAGCTGCACTCCTGAAGGGCCATCTGTCACTCAGCCCCACTGCACCTTACGCTCCAGCACCATTGACAGGGGCTCATCCTGCCCTGATTCAAGACTCCACGTGCTGCCTGGGCTATGGTGCACAGCCCCGCTCCTGAAAAATGAGGGCAGAGTCCTGAGTGCTTGGTCCCTTGCCTGTCAGGAGCAAGAAGACCAAAGGGTGTCAACCTCCTAGTATGCAGTGCAGGACCTCTGCCAGGCTGGTTGCTCTGGAGAGCCCCTGGACCTGCGCCAGCGGTGAGGCACGACGCTGCTCGATGGCTTGCACTGGAGTCCCCAGGCTGGCAGGTTGGTCAGACGATGTGGCCACCTTCACTCAGCCACCTGGGCCGGTACGTGGCACAGCCCGGTGTGTCCTTGGGGCACTGGGCACTGGGGATGTCACCCAGCTTGGCACGAACGAGGTCCTGCAGCTCCCGGTCTCCCAGCTCGGTCGCCGCGGCGAGGGCCAGGAGGAAGTAGGCTGCTGCATCCTGTTCATCCTAACCGTAAGGGACAGGGCAGGCATTAGGAAATTAGGGTAAAAGGGAGCTGGAGCAGAGCCTGGTGGTTTCAGGCAGAACCGAGTGACACCTGATTTCATAAAAATGGGCTCTACAGAGTCACAGCTAAGTGCCAGCACTTCTTTCCAAATTTCCTTTCCCACTTCCAAAACCTGGTTGTGCCAGCATTGTCTGCATTTATTCTAACACTGCAGAGAGGATGGAGAGTCACAGGATGCAGCCATCTACATGTGTGGCTCTTCTGCCAGCAGATACGATCCTCCACCTCCAGCTCCCTGTCAAGACCAGAGTGCTCAACACAGCATCATGGAAAGGTTTCCTACCTTCAGTTTGTGCAGGGTCAGGTTGCCAAGGTGGCAATACACCTTGCAGTAGTACAGGGCTTCTCCAGAGCACTGCAGCAAGGGGGGACGCAGGGCAAGCGTCTTCAGGTAGCAATCTTCTGCCATCTCGTACATATGCAGGAGATAGTAGACTGTAGCCAGGCGGTGGAATGCGACCAGCTCTTGCAGTTGATCTCCTGGAAAAGAGTTGCTGATACAGTCAGCCTGCAGCGTGCTCACAACACACCCCAGCCCAGCGTGCCGAGCTGCTCGGGGGTGCACCTGGCCAACGGCCTGGGGGAATGGCTGCCTAACTAAGGAGACACTGCGTTTGAAGACAGTTCAGAGAAAACAGAGGTTTTCAGAGGACAGGGCTACTGATACCAAGGCTGGACAGATTGCCCATAGAATCATAGAATCATTTAGGTTGGAAGGGACCTACAAGATCATCAAGGCCAACCAGCGAGCCACCAGGGCTCCAAAGTCCTCTGCCAAAACAGATCAGAATCTGTCAGGGTTGGCAGGGACCACAAGGATCACCCAGTTCCAACCCCTCTGCCATGAGCAGGGACACCTCCCACTAGATCAGGCTGCCCAGAGCCTCATCCAGCCTGGCCTTAAAGACCCCCAGGGATGGGGCCTCAACCACCACCCTGGGCAACCCATTCCAGGGTCTCACCACTCTCATGGTGAAGAACTTCTTCCTCACATCCAGCCTGAATCTGCCCACTTCCAGCTTTGCCCCATTCCCTCTAGTTCTGCCATGGAGTGCATCGTTCAGCCAAGGGATTTCTTGGGTGCTAGGAAGGGCTATTACAACACTGGTTCCATCTCACAGGTTTATACTGGCATTTTGCCCATTCAAACTATTTCTGTTACAGGAAGGGATGAGTTCATCAGAACAGATAGGGAAGAGAGGAATTGTTCAGTCCTCTTTCTTTCTTCAGACTTCTTGTGCTCTGGTGTAGCAACCACCTTCCACTCAGCCAGTCCCCCCTTGCCACAGCAGACAACTGTGGTTGTCATGAAGCTTAAAAAGGGAAGTGGCCTTAAAAAGATGTTGCCACTTAGGATAAGAATAGGTCCAGCAGTCTTACGAAAGCAGATCTCCTTTTCATGTGCACACTGCTCTCATCCAGAAAGGCAACTCTCCATACCCTGTGGCTGTGCATCACTCACCGACCCTGGTGCTCAGCCTTGCTGCCAGTGTGGCAAACTCCAGTGCCTTCTCATAGCCCTGCAGCCCCATCTGCAGCTCTGCCAGCTTGTTGAACAGCCGTAGCTCTGTCTCAATGGCCTTTAGTTTCCTGGCCAAGGGCACAGCACCTCCCTGAGGAGACAGAACAGTGAGTCCAGGCTGTTCCTGGAGGTGGCGGTACAAGCACTGCCCACAGAGTGGTGATAAAGAAGCAGGAGACGGATCAAGCACTTAGCATGGTAGGCAGACGATGAGGGGGCCGAGTGCTGCAAGCTCATGTTCTAGCCCCATCCTTCCCCTGAAAATTCGTTTAATATCCCAGAGCGTGGTTCTCAAAACTCGAGCCTGACACCTCTGCTCCTCCTTGGGTGCCTGAAATACTGACTCTGAGGATGTCCCCAGGAGTGAGCAGCTCACACCTAACACTACCAGACTTTGTAACGCAAGGACCCCATTCCCACCCCCTAGTGATCTCTAGGGTGAAGGTACAGACATTGCCAAATAGGTCTGTGGCCCAGGCTTCTCCCCTGAGCACTGTTTGCACTCTGGCACACCCATAGCCACCCCCTCCCCCTCCAGCCTCCACCCCTGCAGCCTGGGCACACAGTGCTGCAGCCAGCCCTGGGGCAAAGCTCCCCACAGCCATCGCCTGGTGGGGACACAAGGACAGAAATGCTTGGAGGGATCCACACCCTGTAAAACTCCACTGCCCGAGCTCTGTTTCGGCTGCCGTTAAAGAAGGTATCACCTGCTTTTTCATACAGATCCATAGCCAAGGAGAAGTTCTCCCATTTCAGAGCAGTCTGAATGGCTGCCTAGAAGGAAAAGGAACTGGAGTGAGACTTGGAAAGAGACACTTGCACATAGACATTGGTGTGATTAAATAAAACCCAGTCGTTGTAAACGTGAGGCCCAGTGCTCCAAACAGGATGGAGACAGGCTGGCAGGTGTGTGGCCCCTGTGCTGCATTCGGGAGCGATGTGGGTAAGGATGGAGGCAGGAGCCAGGTAAGCCATGCCGGGCAGGGTCAGTGTGATGCACGGACGGCTGGGACATCCACAGGCACCGGGGTTTAGAGTCGGGGCGGTGCCGCCAGCAGCTGTCCCGGCCCTGTGTCACGGGTGTGATGGAGCCAGGGTGGAGGGTGCTGAGAGGGACGGACAGCTTATGGAGAGGAAGGGCAGAGCGCGCAGGAGCGGGGGCAGCAGTGCTAACTTCTGGGAAGAACACTTCTTTGTGCCAATACGCACTTGGCCCTGGTGTCACTTTCCAGCCAGAACAGGCTGTTCCTTACACCGTGACAACTTACCATTGCCAGGGACCCTGCTTGGCAAGGGGTCCCTCAAGGACTGAAACATGCTCTGCTGAGACCTGGCATTGACTGGCCCTTCTGTCTGGGAAGTCAACCCTCCTTCAGCCCCTGCCTCCCTGCTGAAACCATGAGCCAGGGAGGCAATGATGGCTCTTTGTTATGGGCCTCAAATCTCCCTTGTGAACACCAGGAAACAGACGGATACCAAAGCCATCTACTCAGTTCACCTATGTCACTGAGCAATCACCCTGTCCCAGTAGCTCCCGGCCTGTACCACCCTGATTTAGGGATAGGCTGGTGTGGCTGATGGGGAAGGCTCCTCTCCTTGTTCCCACCACCGAATACCTCAGTCACGCAAACCCATCAGTTCAGAAATGCTTCTAAGTAACAGAGTGAGGACCCAAAATGTCCTCTACCTGTGTCTGGGCTGGTGCTTTGCTAAATACCCCACCTCAGTGCAATCCCAGCAGACCCAACCAGCCTTCTGCTCTGCTTGCTCTGGGCACGCAAGAGGATTTCCCATTTTTTTAATAGAAGCTGCTCTGTGAATGAGGGAGCCCTAAGATTTTATAAGCTGGTCTTCCACTTGTAGCCCAGCTGATAAAATAATGCTAGAGATGGAAAGAAGCCAGTAGTCATTTACTCCAAGAAGTCTCCAAGCACTTCCCTGGCACCTTATACCTTATCTATGTGTATTTCAATGGGAATAGGTCACTTGGCACCTCCAGCTTCCTTTGGCACTCCTACATCACTTTCTTACTCAATAAATTCACTTTCACCCAAGAGTCCTCTAAACCCATCATACAGAAGGAAAGGTAGGGAATTCAGCGCCAGATAGTGCATGAGTCTAAAGCAACAGCTCCTCCTTCCAGCAACAGGTTTACATTGCTCATAAGAACTTTCCATTCCAGGTTTCCCAGCCCCAAAAAGGCTCCTACAAATAAGATGTGATGGGAATGCAGCCAACCAGAGTAGAGCAGGACTGCTCCAGCCACCTCCTCCGTACCTGAAAGTACATTTCCACAAGCTCATCTTCCTGCATAAAATAGTAGAGCCTTCCTGCCTGCAGCCAGGCCTCTGCTGCTTTCACAGTCTCCTCAAGATCAATGAATATCCTTAGACTCTGTTTGGTGCAGTCCAGGGAGCATCTCAAAGCCCTGTGAAGATAACAGTCAAAAAAACATTACAGAGAAATCACTCCCACCAATCAAGCTGCAAAGCTACCAGAACACTTTCCCACTGGCAATCCTGTCTGCTCCTCCTACAGTTGCCAAAGGCTAGAGACAAAACTATAGCCACATGTGTGAGCAGTGTGTCCTGGTAAAATGGTGGAAGTCTCCAAGCTTTAGTGGACATGTCTGGATCACCTGGCAACCTTAGACCAGCTTAGGACCCCAGTGCTCAGCACAACCCCAAGGTAGCCTGCTCCCAAAGAGGCTGCTCCCCCCACCTCCTTGTTTCAGCTGATAAAGGGGCCTGTCCAGGCCATCTGCAAACCCTAGCTGAGCCCCTACACTAAGGCCCAAAGTCAATCCCAGCTACACATGGGAGCACAGGCAGGGAGTGCTTGCACCTTCATTTTCCAGACAGCAGCCAAAGAGACAGATCTCTGGCTACAAGTTTGTTGCCCTTTTTCAAGCCCCTGGTCACTAGAGGCCAAAGGGGCAGGCAGCAGGATGAGCCAGCAGGTTGGACACGCTGCCTGCAGAGGCAGCTGTGGTGAAGGGAGAACTGGGCAGTACCCAGGGCATGTTTGTTTGCTTGGTGCCTTGCCTACTGGCAACTGGGCTCCAGCTGTCCTTCCACTCCAGGGAATGGGGTGCTTTGTGACCTTAAACAGTACTGTTCCCATGACAGGCCTCTGCTTCCTAAACACCTTCCCTCTGCACTCGCTGTGACCTAGCATGGGAAGTTTAACATCCAAGTCAGTGACAGCCCCTGCTCATCTGTCCTTCTGAGACATGGGAGCTAGCTCTCCACTATTTGACACGTTTGCCTTCACAGACTGAAGAAAGTCTGTGGTGTGTCCAGGTCTCTTTCTCTCCCCTCCCACCTAATCTAATCAGTCACCTGCATGTGTCAAGCAGGAGACTGAAAAGTGAGCTGATACGGGGTCTTAAGGACCTCCCTGGGGAAACTATTCCAGCAGAGATAGGAAGGGCAGAGCCAGCAGCTGGAGGCTGAAGTCAGACTTATTCAAATAACAGATAAGGAACCTATTTTTACTGCTGAACTGTGATTAATCACTAGAATAAGCCTCCAAAGGAAGTCGCGGGTCCCCTCTCTCTGATCAAGGCTGGAAAACCATGTTTGGCCAGACCCTAGTTCTGTCCCAGCTAGCAGCCTGGTGTTTGCTGGCTGTCACAGAGCTCTGGTTGACACTGAACCGTTCCCCTCTTCACGGCACAGCAACAGCTCGCAACCCCCAGCAGCACACTAGCCAGCAGCCTGCCTGCAGGGCGCCTGGAGCCACCCCACACCTCCCCACCTCTCTCGAGGGACACCCCAGGAAAGGCAGCGCTCCTGCTTTGGGTGAGGGGGGACCCCACTCTAGCAGCACCTAACAGCCACTGGCAGGACTTACTCAGGTGTACCCAGAGCCTGGTAGAGCTGGCTGAGGGTCTGCTGCACGTTGCCTTCCAGCTCTCTGTCCTGCAGCTGCTGTGCCAGGGATACCCAGTGCTCATGGTAGGTAATGCAGGCCTGGAGGTTGGGGGACACTTTGCTGTAGAAATGGCAGAGAGACTCGGTGATGTGCAGCTGACCTGCGTGGTATAGGGAAGGGAAAAGGACAGGTCAGGGGACAAGGTGCTGCCCAGAACTGAATGCTACCCTGGGTCCCAGCAGCAAAGCTGTACTCACTCCTCACATTACGCCACTTCAGGGCAAAAACCAACGCCAGTTCATAACAGAGTTTGCCACCTTCCATCCTCTGCCTGTCCAGCATGGCTTGAGCTAGCCAGAGCAGCACCCACAGCAGCTCCATCTCCAGATCTTCGCTGCCCTGGAGCTCGGCATAGAGCTGAGCTGACTGGAGCAGGTAGAGCTCCGAGAGCCCGCTCGCCCCGCGCCAGAGGCTCAGCTGCCCCAGGTTAGCCAGGGCGATAGCCTGGTTCCTCTTGTTCCCCGTCTCCTTGGCCTTGTGCAGAGCCCGCAGGTAGTTCTTCGCAGCCTTCTGCACCTGCCCTTGTCCTTTGAGGGCAATGGCCAGGAGGTTGTGCACAGCTCCACCCTGGGTCACGCTGTCCGTCCCGTGCAGAGAGCGCCGGAGCTGCCGCAGGAGGTCTGCGGCTGGGCCCGGCTGGCTGTGCAGGAGATACAGCCACCCCAAGGACAGCGACGACTCAAAAGCCTCCTCCTCGCCCATCAGCCTGCCCAGGGCTACGGCCGTGGCTGCGTAACGAAGCGCCCCGTCCAACAGGCCGTGCTGGAGGTACATCCTGGACAAGATGGCACACAGCGTCCTCTGCATGGGCACGGCCCCGCTCCGGCAGGAGAAATGCAGCGCTTGCTTGAGATAGAAACAAGCCAGTGCTGGGATGCTGCTCCTCTCCAAGTGGCTTCCGAGGAGTTTGGAAGTATTTTGGAGGATGAAGCCGGCTCTCCAAAGGGGTGTCGGTGCCCCCTTGATGCCGCTGGGAACAAACAACCTGGCGGAGGCCAGTGCAATATTTGGCAAGTACTTCTTGTCATACAGGTAGCTCAAGATGGGGGTGGCATCCAGTGGCACAGAACTAGTGTCCAGGCTGACTGAGGTGCTGGTGAGACATTGAAGATGCTCAGTAAAGGGCAGCACTTCATCATTTTTGCCCAGCTGTAGGGAGAGCTTGACTATCAGGAAGCAGACCCGTGCCTCCAAGGGAGCATTACCCACAGCAATGGCTTCCCTCAGGACGTACATCATGACTTCCAGCTCGTTCTCAGAGCTGAAAGAGCGGCCAGGCAAGCAGACGAGCAAGGCCACCATTTTCCCCAGTAGGGATGAGAACTTGTGCTTCATGTTCTGTTTCAAGTAGATGGAGGCAAGGTTCACATGCAACGCAGCCAACAGGGGCAGGTCCCCAAAACCCCTGTCCAGGACGCTCATGGCTTCCTCAAAGTAGACTCGAGCCTGGGAGAACTTGACCTTTTTGATGCAGATCTTACCCAAGAGGAAACAGAGCCTGACATGAGCCCAAACTGAATGAGTCCTCTTGGCCCAGTTCCTGGATGTCTCAAGGTACAAAACCAGTTCATCCTCATCAGAAAAACCATAAAAAGTGGAGTTGAGAAAGGAAAAACTGAGATCATAGAGGCTTTGAAAACTGGGCACATAACTGTCTTGGTTAAGGAAGGTTAGTATGGGGTCAAACACATCAGCATCTTCCATGTGTCCAGCATTCACATCAATAAAGAATTTGGGATCATCAAAATCATCCAGCTTCTCCAGGAGAACATCTTCCAAGGTAGCAGGAGCTGATTCACTCCCTGGGCTAGACAGTTCGGAGGTACTAGTCGTAGCAAAGTCGTTTATTTCCTCCCAAGACTGGAGCATCTGGATATCTTTACAGCTACGGAGACCAGCCTCTGAAAGGGACAGGCAAACAATAGTGGGATTTTTCCCCATGTCCAACTTCACCCTTAGAAGTCATCACAAAGGCATCCCACTCTGTCCCCTCCACATACTCACCTGACGGCCCTTTCAGGAACATGGCTGTAGGTTCAAAACCATCTACACAAAGAGACAAACAGAAGACAAAAAAGCCCAAAGCTTTGGTCAGTGTTAATGTGGCAGGCACAGTGTTCAAACCTCACAGAGATCTCCTGCTGCTCTGCTAAACGCCAGACCCCCAAGTGGGAGAGCAGGCTTGCTTCTGGCCACAGACACCACGTGCAGCTGCAGTTTCAACCTTCAGTTCTGCTGGGTCTTGGCTCCAGGTAAGACCATGAAGAACAGCTTTTGGCTGGTTGTGAGGTGAGCACTGGTTATATGATTGTTACCTGGGGACAAGTAGGTCTTACTTTTCACAGGTAGCGTTTTATCACCTCTCTCTCTCTTAAGAGCCTTGTTGTGTCTATTCAGAGTTCTCAGATACGTGTGTTTCTCTGACAAGCTCTACCTCAGGATCATTGCAGCTGAGCTGGCTGGTCTGGGAGGTCCCTTGAACCCCAGGGGATCCCAAGCTCAGCCCTGCATGGCCACACTGTCCTTCTGGGTAGTGAGAAGGCACAGAAACGGAGACAGAAAAATCAGCTGTGGTACAAAAGCCACAGAGCACGCATATGGAAACTGAGAAAAGCACCCAGGATCCCCAACCTCCTGGGTCCTGCTATGGGCATGGAGATAATGTCGCCTGTCACTTTAGCTGTACGTCCCCCTCAGTATACACCCAAAGGTCAGACAGCAGCAGGGGACTTGCTGGAGGCATGGAGCTACAGTCAGGATCAGTCAAGGGCAGCATCTACCAGGGTGAGCCAGAGCTGAGAAGCTGCCCTGGAAGCAGAGAAAGCCCCTACAAACTTCAGCGTGGCGAGGCCCAGCTCTTGAGGCTATCTACAGTCTCCACAGCCAGGCTGAG